AGAAAAAATACTCTAATAGATTAGCACCTATCCGGATACTTTCATGACTAAGTCTTCATTAAAAAGAATTATTATTCCTATTAACAACATCTAATAAGAAAAGTACTACTATCAGATATTTTTCCAAGGAACACACTTTTATAAAGTCATGGCATCTTTCTGTGCTAGCATTTATTTAGCTTGTCTTCAGCAATAAGAGGCTCAGCAAGCAGTATCTTCAACATTAGCAACATTGCATCCTACCATTTTATAACATAAAGATGACAATGATGAAAAATAAAGATAATTAATGCAGCTCAGAAAAAGAGGGACTCACTGTATATTTAAACTCCACAAATAGCATCATCAGTTTGAAAACTCAAAGAAATAAAGATCTTTGTGAAATATTTAACAGATTGGAGAATAGCTATTACGTACACTATTTATAGATTTTCCTTTGAATTTCCGGTATCTGCTTTTACTGAGGTAGCACCCTTAGTACACTTTTTCCTAATAATCTACAATGTTAATAGAAAAATAATATGAAATATATATTAAATCTGATAATGTCTACATTTAATTGTCTCTTAATATTTCTAGTCTCATGCCTTTGCTTCCTTGTATGGTATAAATAGAAAATATGCCACAAATAATATATGAGAAATTTAATTTTTTGTGTCTATCATAATATACTTTTTTTAGTTTACTGCTACAAAAGACAGAAAAAATGTATTGCCAAATTATTTGTGAGCTTCAGACATAGATCTCTTCAGTTCACTGATTACAGAAAGACAGCATTACCCTAGTCAAGTTCAAAACGTTTCTTTATATGAACAAAATATTTCTGTGCAGTTCAGATAAATAAACATTTTGTGTATGTGAAACACCACTGGTCACAGTAGATTATTTTTAAATCTTAAACTTGAATTTGTGATCTAATGGAACAAAATTTTTAAACTCAAATGGCATTATTATGATGATGTAAAGTACATGTAATAACTGTTTTATTTTCCTTCTTTTCACAGCAAAGTAGCAGAAACATACCTCTTCAAAACGTCTACGTTTCTCTGAAGGTTCTGACCCATCACTTTCATTCTCTGAGTCCTCTTCTTCATCCTCTTCATCTCTGAAGATATCATCATAAGCAGGAACATCAAGATCATCATCTTGTTTAACCAACAGCTTAATCTAGCAAAGAAAAAAAATGGTATTTTAAATAAAGTATCTTATTTAGTGATTAAAAAGCATTTCAAATGACAAATAAGAATACTTCAAATACTTAGTAAGAGAAATTATTCGTTTTGGCTGTGATTGATTCCCAGCATAACACAAATATTGCTTTTTAATACAAAGACTTTTAGTTATACAAAATAAGAGTAAAAACCTGTATTCATTGATTACAGCATTACTAAACGAATTAGCATTTTTGTGCTTGTTAAAGTCATGTTACCAAATAATTTGTGCTTAATACTCACATTCTAAGTGTCGCTCGATGCTGAAAGATAATACATATTATGTTCTGGAGGATGTTTATCCTCTGGATTTCTAGCTGATTGATTTGTAGCAACAGGATTAACAGATGCTTACTACTGACAACTACCACACTTCTAACACTATATATTTTATTATTGAAAACAGATTTTTTTCTGATCATGTACATGACTACTGCAAATATCCATTAATACTGCTTCCTGACCCACTAGTGAACAGTGTCAACAGTTTTGCAAAACACAGAAAAGCACTACACCACCCACCACCACACTGTGTGAAGATTTTTATTATGAAAGAAAAGTGTTTACCTGTGTGTCATTGTAAACATTCACTACATTGATAGGTCTGTGGCTATCACATACAAAAAAGTAAGTGTCTTCTTCTGGCTGCAAGATCTCCAGAAGGTCAACATTGGCACCACAATTAATAAGAACAAAATATTTGAACTGCAAACAAAAGCAATAAGAAAAAAGGTTTTCAGTTCAACTAGCATGAAACACGGAAGACTGAAAACAACTTCACAAAACCTGAGAAGTACTCATCATTGCCAAAACTTGTACGTACTTTCTGACATTTGCTGTCTCTGAGGAGAAAAAAAAAAATATGCAAGACAAACCAGCAAATTTGGGGATGTTGGAAATTCAATACCACCACCTCTTATCTCAAAATGCGTGCAGACTTAATTTGAATCTATCAAAATTATAGCACATTAGTTTCAGCTGGTGTAAAAAACTTAACAAGTTTGTTACTGGTATGTTAAACTTTAACCACTGTTTTGACATAACCAACACTAATAATTAGGTCAAGAGCTCACGTTTTAAGCTAGGGAAAAGGCAGTGCATGTCTATATAGGATGGGCTGCAACTTAAAACAAAAATCCAGTTTTTTCACCTGATCTTTATGCTCAAGAAAGGCAGTTTCAAGTTCCTGCCATCCAGATACTGGGACGAGTGTATATTGCACATGATCACATTGGAACAAAGCCTGAAATGAAGCAAACAGCTGTTAGCAAAGGTGAGGGGAAACAACCTCTTCTACAGTGCTACACCATGCTATAATTCCATTTCATACAGATCTTTATCTTGAAGACATCCCAAATGACAAATCTACATTATCTTTGGGAGTATGACTTATCAGTTTTCAGTGTCATAACTCATGGAAGAAAAAAAAGTTACAGAAACAGGTTAAACCTTTACCCTTTCCCCAGTTCAAACCTACAAAAAGGTTCCAAGGGCATTTTTTCTTTTACTGTTAGCCTACAGTGACAATGAACAAGAACTTACTTGGAGTATTTTACAAGCACATAATGCATCAACATCTGAAGCAACAAGAAGGAGAACACGCTGAAAAAATAATAGAATAACAGTATTAGTATATTAACATAGGTGCCAAACCTAATGCACTGGTACATGAAACACACAGATCCCTATGAGACCAGAAAGTGAGAAATTTAGGTAGAGATCATTATAAGCAAAAACCAGGATTGCTTCTGAATGAACACTGCAACCAAAATTAACTGATTTGGATCCCTGTAAATATGAACAATAAACAACTCCACATACCCCAAATACGTCAGCTGCTTTGAAAAAATGTAGTTATTCAGACTCCTATGAACTGCACATAGTTTTGAAGGTTCAAAGCTAGTCAGCCCTACAACTATTTTCATCGTGTCTAGAAAGGCCTAAGTTTTCAGCATGGGATCTGGAACAGTTTTGACTGAAGAAAATCTGTAGCAAAAATAGGAGCAAGGCAACTCCTGAAATAAATTGCCGTGCCTAAATCAAGGTTATCTGGTGGTTTTTTGGTGGGTTGCGGTTTGTTTGGGTTTTGTTTTGTTTTTTTTTTTTTGGGGGGGGGATATATTTTGCTTACAGTTGGAGAAGTTGAGGGGAATGCTTTCAGTTGCCCAATCCATAATACAGTTTAACAGGAAGAAATACTAGAATACTGTCCAAGAAGAGTTTTACCACTTCAGTGTACGCATTTGCTACAAACAAAGTTAAGCAAGCCATCATAAAAAAATGAAAGCAGCCAACCAGCCCTGCTATAAGAAAGGCAGCAAGAGAAAACTCAAAGACAGAATACAGGATTTACCGTCTGGGCAAACAACAGCACAATTTTTAAAAAAAGCATAAAGGAA